CTCACGGTTTGTGTAGGGCCCACAGAAGCAGCAGGGGAATCGCAAGGGCCCGCCAATTGCGGCAATTGCAAGGAGGGCCACTTGTCGCCCAAGAAAGAGTTAGATTTCAGCTGGATATGGGAACGCAATCCCTCACAGTCGCCCAAAGGCACGCCACTTGAGTGGGTCTCAATCACATTTTCACCCTCCTAAATGCCACTCACACCCCAATTGTGTGTTGGTGAATTAATTTTCTTAACATTTTTATTTGTTTGAATTGTGCGTCGCAGTGCAATTAACGAGATTGCCCCTCGATGGATGAAATTCCCGCCGAGATTTATTAAGTGAGCAAATAATCCATAAAATTCCCATTATTTTTCCCCATTAAAATCCCACTAATTGCCTAGCGATGCCCACACAGAATCAACGATGAATCGACACATTTTCACATATGTATGTAAGAAAGAAAATTGAGTCATGACATCGCAATGAAATTAATTTCACACTTAAGCCATGGACGAGTTGGAAATTTTTCATCTCATTTCGGAGATTTCTCAACACTCACAAGAAAGAACCATTAAATTATCATGACAAAAAAAGAAGAGAAAAAAAATATTGAGGGCATTTTTTTCTTGTCACACACAAAAAAAATCCTCGTCCAGTTGAGAAGGAAGTTGGGTGGGAGAATTAATTCTATTTACATAAAAATACAGCATCATTTGTGATTCTTGTCAAAAGAATTGCTTGGGGTGGATTTTTTTTCCGACAATAATTACTGGAGAAAAAGCCTTAAAGTTTAGATAGTATGAAAAATTAAAGGGCATTTTAGTCGTCTTTGATCCTATATTTATCGTTTCATGGACAATTGTCACATTTTTGTGGAGGTCTAAGAGTAACTTTATCCATCCATTCCGCACTTTCTCGTCGCACTTCAGCTCACTGGACAGACTCATTTTAGGCAATTGTCATGAAAACCCAACTATTTCGCTATTGTTATGTCTTTTTCTCACTATAAAACATCTTTTATGCGCATTTTCTCCATTGCACGACATTTCCTATTACCATTCATCTCATTGTTGCTATTCGACTGTTTTGTTTGCCTCTTTTGTCACATATCGCACTGTGATACTTTTCTTCTCGTTTTCTTGGCCATTTTCATCCTCAACAATGCAAACGCGAAGGGGCCTCGAAGATGGTGAATAAAAATGACAAAATATCGCAATAAATGAAGCTTCTGTGGTCTCAACAATTCTCTGTGATAGAGACATTATCGTTTTGTCAATCGGCGGTGGAAAATCATCGTTCTCTTGGCAGCGGTGAATGTCCTGTGCGACCCTCCGTTTTGCGTCCCAGAAATTGAGGAGAAGAAGAAGAAGAGGAGTCAGCAGTTATGACAATTACTATTATGACATCTTCGCATTCAATTGCCACACAAGTTTGACCAGAGGAAAGTAAGTTTGCCATTCAACTTTTGGCACAATAAAGTGCCACGGGGCAATTTTATTGTCATTCATACCATAGTGCATTTCTCACTGGGGGAAACTCGACATAAATATCGCTCGAGATGAAAATATGACAGTAAGTGCACGAGTATTGAGTAAATTAGTATCCTTTTTGGGCTAATTTGTCATTTCTCGGCCATTTATCGGCACGACTTCGATGACAAGGAGGTGGTGCCCATTCTGACGTTATATTCCCCATTATTTATATGCTTTATTTTCCTCCTTCCGGCATTTTTCCTTCCTCATGCCACGCATGGAAATCCCTTTCACTCCTTCACTTAATGACACACTCCTGCTGAGGGTTCGGAAAGCCCGCGTCGAATGATAAAATATCCACTCGATTGTGTGTACTTTTCTGATTACGATTGTGCTGATGTGCGCCGAAGAAAAGCATTTGGGATTGAGATGGTGATTGAATAGGAAATCGTGATTTTTCCCTCCACATTTTTTTTTCTTCTGTGCCTCTCTCAGCACAATGGGAAAGGTAAAAGAAATTTCCCTTTTTCCATACCTCTTCTCATGGATGGGGGGGGTGGTGGGCTTCGTAAACCCCCATGAGAATTGGTGCGGGTGCAGAGAAAAATGAGGATGCAAATGTGTTGATATTTAAATGGCACATTGAGCAGTGCGTGTGAAATTAATGGTCAGAAGAGGAAGCTTCTATCTTCGATGACCAGCCGATTTTTTTTTGTTCACCAATCCATCAAATAACATTTGCCATTTTCCCGAAACCTCCCACACTCAGACACGATTTGGATCAATTTCCGGGAATTATTTTCACTGCTGGCGGTCTCTTTGTGCTCAATGCTGGTGAAATGTAATACCATTTTCATCACTGAAAGTGTTCCTTGGCAAGTCCCATTGACTTCACGGCCGTGCACTTTATCCTGATTGTCAAATTGTTTAACTCCTTCAGAACAGTAAATAGACAGAGACAAAGCTTTCATCGTCTTTTTGCATCTCGGACAGTGAAACAGAGCTACTAAATAAGACATTGCAGAGAAATTTACATCCAATTTTAATGCTTCTCTTGCAATTTAGAATCACAACTGTCGCATGGGGTGAGCAAAGTGATTAATTCGCCTCAAAAGCACCTCTTTTGTGGGCTCTTTCACCGTAAAACACTGAATGGCACTCAAATTCTTTCATCACACCATTTCGGTAATTAAAATCTAAGCGCACCCTCGTGACTCCTCAGCACCCCATCCCCACAGAAAATCGACTGGGTGGTCTTGTTTCGTCACCATTGGCGACAATTGTAGTGTCAACAGACTGCTTTTGGGTGTGAGTTCGGTTGCCTAGAGGATGCCATTCTCAAAACAATTAAACAGAACATTTTCCATGTGTTTCTCCTCTTGCCACTGCACGGAAATATCGATGGTGAAAAATCCCCAGTGGAACTTTACATGTGAATTCCAACCACGTGTGGGACGACTTTGGTAAATGGAAAAGTGATGCATTTTGCGTGGAATAGAAAATAACAACACAGTGGTTGAAAAGATTTTATTGTGATTTTAAATAATGTGGAGAGAATATATGAATGCTTGCCACCCTCACAAAATTCACAATGGCATCAAGAGAGTGGGTGTGTTGCCAAACTCCAACCCGATAATCCGCAACCCTTCCGCGTCGAAAAGAGCCCGCCACCCCCCAAAAAATATTCATTCAACTCCTCTCCTTCATTGAAAAATGGTTACAAAATATAATATATTTTGCACGTGAACAATATTGTCGCACAAAGAGCATTTTGTTCATGTCTCCGCAGTGGCAGGACATGGCTTTAAATGGGTTTATTTGACAATGCCAAAGAGAGGGTGAAAATTTTCATAAAACCTCCCCGCCCACACTTCATACCCAAATATACATTGAGTGTGGAAAATTTGGACAAAAAGGTGAAAATATAAGCTCAAAACTTTTACATCACAAAAAGACGTTCACAGAAAACTCTGAAGATGTGTAACAATTTCTCAAAATAATTGCTCAACCAAACTCTCGACCTTTCTTCACCCAAAAAGCTCTGCCAGAATGTCAAAGGGGAAAAATTATATTCATGCAGTGTACACAAATTCTCCCAATTTCTGCTGTGGCTGTGAAAATCAATCTACTTCTGGTCCATTTTAAGGCAAAGAGAGAATTTTAGAAACAAATAAAAAAAAATGAGCCAATTTGCTAATCAAAATGTACATTCGCGGCACTTTTCACACCTTGTGTGACTGGAAAACAATCAAAAGAACTCATTTGTCTCTCAGCATTGGGCTTCTTTTCCTCCGTCAACTCTTAACCTTTGTTCGAACGAACTCTCTTTTAGCGCTGTGAATAGCCTAGAAAATCTAGGGGATGGAAAAAGCTTTGGAATGTCGCAACGAAACGTGGCTTTGTTTCAGCTTTTCATGTGACTACAATAACTCATTGTGACTGCACTGGAAGTATGATTACAAATGGTAATTGAATAAGAGTGTCTTTTTACTATAAAACCCCTTTTCCCCCCATTAAAAACCACCCACTAGACTTTCTGCTATCGACGTTTCTTCATTCGTTATAGCTATAACAGAAATTTCTGTTTACAAAAATCACAACGTCAAATAGTCTAGGTAAGAATTATGCAAAAGAAATGGAAGAAAAGCCTGTCATTAGGGGGTATAGAAGAGAATTATATTTACAAGGTTATAAAGCAACAAAGAATGTAATGAGCCTTTTACTTGGAGAAAAGGTGCATAAATTGACTAAAAATCCTTGTCGGCAAAACACCAAAAACCACCCTCGATGCCATGCGGCAAGAATCCAATTAAAGTAAATGTAATATTCCATGTTCAGAGTTTCTCATTAAATATTGACAGAAAGAAATGCTGCCGAAGCCATACATTTATTTTTGCAAGATGTGTTAATTGCTGTTGAATTGGGAGAAACAAATGAGTGTAAAAAGCAATTCGAGAACACCTAGTATTTTAATTAAGCGACAATGTGAGCGCTATTTTGCCAGAAAATGAGACACTGTTTGTGAGGCTTGGGTGGTAAAACTTCAGGGACACTTTTACTACGTTCTAAGCAATTTCAGTTTCACCTTCAAACCATGTAAGGTATATACAAGATATATTGGAGGGATTTTACAGTGCAATTGCAGGTCATCTGCAAGGGGTGAACTTCAATATAATCAATATACGGAAAATACTTGCGTCTGCAGAGTTGTGCAGGCGTGCAAAGTGAGATGGATCTGTGGCAATGGGGGCTTGTGACGCTCCAATTTCAATTGAGCTTTGGGGGGTTGATATGACAGAGAAAAAAATCGATTGAGGCTGCAGCCAAATGGCCAACTGAGGGCGAGAGCTTCGCGAGAGTCGACAGTTGCCAAGAGAAACGTCGATTTCTCTCCCTTTGCCAGAGTCACAACGAGGGGCGTCACTCATGGCAGGCCCGGCCCACAAAAAAGTTCCCGGAACGACGAAAGAGAAGGAGAGAAAAGTTGACGAAGAACAATACCATCAACTGTTGTGCGTGAGATCGTTCAGTTTGGCTGAAACTGTTGCAGAGGCAAGACTCATTCATCCAAGTTGTTTCGCTATTGTGTCGCTATTGTGCATAGAATTCAGAACACACTATACAGAGCCTAGAGCCTATTTCTCACACCTAGATTTCAAGACTGACTCTTTTCTCTGCCTGACAATTGTGACAAAAGCATCAGTGAATGTTGCAGAATTGCTGATTTTCAGTGAAAAAAAAAGAAGAACTTGTGAATTGAGAGACCGCAAAGTGATACAGTTATGACCACCCTCACGCACCCACCCTACGGATTTCCGCTATCCATGGGCCTAGAGATGCCCACACCGGGAGACTACGCGCCCTCATCGAATCACAGTCCGACGGACATGAAGCCGCGACTCAGCTTTCCACCCACATCGGCCAGTCTCACCGTCGGACAGTCGCCCGCGGCACAGAGCGGTCAGAACACCCCATCCAGCGGCATGTCCACATCCCCCGGCCAGGAGGGACATATCAAGCGCCCCATGAACGCCTTCATGGTATGGTCACGCATCAAGCGGCGCCAGATCGCCAAGGACAATCCCAAGATGCACAATTCGGAAATCTCAAAGCGCTTGGGCGCAGAATGGAAGCTGCTGAATGAGGCTGAGAAGCGCCCCTACATCGACGAGGCGAAGCGCTTGCGGACGCAGCACATGAAGGAGCACCCTGACTACAAGTATCGACCCCGTCGCAAGCCCAAGAATCCGCTGGCCACGAGCCAGGCCAGCCTGCCTCTCTCCATGCAGGCACCCGGAAAGACACCCCTCAGCGCTGCCTACAATCCCTTCCATCAGCTGCCGTCCTACTTCGCGCCCAGCCACCCTCTGGACCACCCCACTTACCCCGTGCCATACTTCAGCGGCTTCGATCCGCTCGCGCTCAGCAAACTCCATCAGAGCCAAGCCAATCAGCCCACCGTCTTGGAGGCGCAGAAGGCGCCACAGATGCCCTCCACCACCCTGGGCAGCTTCTATTCCGGCATCTACGGCGGAATCTCGGCCGCGCCCGCCCTCTACGCCGCCACCAATGCCTACACGTCCTCGGTGAGCTCCACGTCGCCCAGCTCGAGTCCGGGCACCGCCACATCGCCCATGGACATTGCAGACTCACTCAGGAGGCCCGTGTCCGTCATCTATTGAGCCCATCGATCACTTCATCATCCTTAGATCATCTGTAGAGTATATTTAAATTATGCAGCACGCCTAGCTAGTAATTTCTAATTATACCCTTGTGTTATTTGTCCAAGAAGTCCCTCAGGATCACCAGATCCCGCTGTAAATACGACCTGAGGCGACGCACCGATTGTTTAGCGTACATCTAGACATCATAATCTTGACTGTTTTCTATTTGCAAGTAATGTGTACAATGTTAAGAAGCGCGCTCCACATCAATTCAGTTAGCTTTATTTGTTGGATTCTCCATTCCTTCCACCAATTCTTGTGCTATTTGGCCAACAAATGTATAAGTTTAAGGACAGAAAAAAAGACAACCAATGTTGAGGAGAGAGAAATTTGAAAATAAATTGAGAATGAGCTGACTTTTGTGTTTGCCTTTGGCGAAGAGACAATGGACAAAAAAGGATTGTTATATTGCTAAAAGTCCCAAAGTTACAGTTTTTTTTTCTTCTTCTTCGGCAGTGTGCTGTAAAACACCACCCCTGAATATTTTTCTAAGGAACTCATATAACTTCCTATTGTCCGGTGCCTTGAGAAATTACTGTGTGTGTGCACAGTGACGGAAGAAACTGTGGGACGTTCACGGGAAAAATGGTGGAACAAAGAGATGCATTTAAAACATCCTTTTCTCTCTCGTGGCGAGGAATTTTGACACATTTTTATGATGCATGAATGAGAGGACACAGGGAGAGAGAATGACGTCCGAGGACAATGGCAAGGAGGAACCTTGAGGAGGACAATAGGATTTGGCGATTTCGCAGAAGAAGACACAGTGGAGACGCACGGGTACCAGGCGTCTCCACTGTCACCCTCCAAATGTCGAAACGGGGAAATCCCACGAGGTCATTAATCATAAAATTAATAAATATTACCCCGTGACAATGGGTAAGAGGAGATAAAAAGACCAAATCTCTGTGCAATAATCAGTCACCCATTGTTGCATCCTCTCATTTGCCAGTGTTCTCTGGTGAGAGGGACAAAAACTCACCATCCAAATCGAGGGATGTTCTCATATGCATGTGCAAATAATTTGATGATGAAACCAACATAATTCCGAGGAGAGAGAGACGACAATTTGCCGAAGGGATGAAAGTCCTCGCAAGATTAATGACTTATAGTCTCACTTGAGTGTGTTGCCATTTCGAATCACACACAATTTCAAGTGGAAAATGCCTCTCTGTCACACTTTTCTCAATGGAGGGTGAACATCTATGCCCGAAAGCCAATTGTCTCGCTTTGGCGCATAAATTAAAAATGATAGAGAGAGAGAGAGACTTTTTGCCGCCAAATCATAAAGAGAAAAATACCAGAGGTAAAAAAAGATCGTAACGAATAATTAATCAATTTTGGTGACGAGAGACACAAAGCAGAAAAAAAAACTGATCACAGTTGCAAAATGACATGATGTCTATTTGCGCGCCTTTCGACAAATTGCGAAAGAAATCAACAAGAGGTTCGTGACATTAGCAAGTTCTCACTTCACGTGTTTTTTTTTTAACTTCTTCTAACCCTTCATGGAAGGCTAAGAAGAGTCTATCAGGCGTTTTATGTTGATTACTTGTTACCATAGAGAAGCTGAATTAGAGTATATTTCCAAGAAATGCATCCCTATCACAACAATTTTTCCCTCTTCTGCCAATAAATCGATCTGCAAATATATTTTCTCATCCGACTGCACACAGCGCGGAAACTGTAATTCATTCCGCGTGGCAGATTTGGTCATTAGTGGAATGTGAAAATGGGTGTAAGTGGAAAAAAAAGAGTTGCGGAAAATGCGTCAAAAATCCACCCCAATTCCTGGATATAACCTCGGCACATAAATCTTTTAATTGAATTCATACGCCATTCTCAAATGGAGAGGATTTTTTGTCCGACACACTCATTCGGTCTCTAAATAATTGTCCTCGAGTGTTTATTCACTCTGAAACATTTTATATGCATGCATTGCTCGTGGTGAATTCAACTCCCTCTCGTCTCAGGGGCATTTTTCCAACACTTTCCTCTGGACGAAGCCAATGACCAGAGGGGTTGTGCAGTGACTTGGGCAAATGGAATTTCACTGTTATTAAAAAGTAACCACTTTTCTCTTCGAGTGTGAAGGAGTTTTTTTTCGTACAAATCTGACGAACTGTGGGTGGTTTAATTCATGAAAAACACTAATTGGTGGTGGATCGTGGGGTTGAAGAAGGGTTGAGGAAGTGAAATTGGATAGGAATTCTCCCTCTCACTCAACCCTTGAGTGATAATCAAATTTATCTGATAAATCTCCTCCTTCCCCTCTCGCTGTGATTTCAAGGCATCACTCTTGCTCGAGGGGTTGAGATTTGGAGAATGATGCAAAGCATATTGTGACAGTGCAAGGGTGGCAAAATAATAACATAATCCTCGTTTAACAATAAACACGAGAGGGTGGCGAAGCCCTGTTTGCGATAAATTGAATAAATTCAACAATGATATGAATATTTTAGCATTGAGGCGCGCCTTGGTGTGATGGAATAAAATTTATAATTGAACAAACAATCACGACAAGAGACTCCTCTCTTTTTTCTGGCAGTCGCACACCATCTCACAAAACAATTGGACGGGACTTCTTTGTCGTCATCCAAAAACGATGGGGTCATCATCTGAGTGGAAATTGTGGTTATCATCTTTTGTCACTGCCAATGATTCATTCTTAGAGAGAAAGTGCTTCAGCGAACCCTCATTGCGCCGCACTGACAATGCGCGTCCTTCTGCTTGACACCACAAAAAAAAAGGAGGGAAATTAAATTTTGGGCTTGAAAAAAAAAGCACCCAGATTTGATACAAAGTGAAATTTCAAAATTCCCTTCATCATCGCGCATAACACATGGAAAATTTATCGTGATGTAAAATGTGCGACAAACCCTTTTCCTGATGCCACACACACACACAAACAAACACACACACAGAATCACACATAGTTATCTTCATTGGGATGTGAAGGTGTGTTTTCCGATAGAAATCAAAATTTATTATATAAAATACACACTTTGGAAAACGAGTCTTTTGCGGGTTGAATGAGAGAAAATAACAAGTGAGATATTGTATAGAAATTGAAGATTTAATTTCCTGAATCAAATGGGAATGAAACCCAATTCAGCACGAAGAGTGGAGAGAACTCAGGCGAGCTGGTGACAATGCATGCATTGTTATTATTCTATCATGAAATGCGAAAATTTATACTATTGCCTTCCCAATAGGTGCAAAATGAACCAAACTGCAACGCATTTTGGTCAAAATTTTCCGTACTATATGGGGAGAAATTTCCAATTGCATTCATTGCACATTTTATTGTCTTTATTCACTTGTCGTGATGCTGCAGAATTTGATCACTGTCAGAAAGGAAATTAATCACGCATCAGTGGACAGATCACAATATGATTACATTTCTTTCGGTCGACTTTAAACTCATCGCACGTGAAGTCAGAATTGTATTTATTTATTCACCAGAAATTCTCACCGTCAAAGAGACGGAGCGCAATCTGCATAGCACAAACTGTGAAAATTCGGTAAGATCAATCAGCAATTTCAATTGATGAGAGACAAAAGATGCGAGAACCAAGATAATGAGGAGGTTTTTTTTTTCTCTCTTCTCCTCTTGCGCGCACTATGCGACTTCGTGATTCAGTGGCCATGCAAATGACATTTGTCAACAGTAGACTTCTTCGACACTTCCAGACAGCAAACACGGCTTTCTTCCCTCCCCCCGAAGACAAAGATGAGGGCGACGCCAGTGGAAAAAAAAGCGCACACCTTTCGCAGTAAATTCAAGTGACGCCAGAAGAGAGTGGCTTTCTCGTGCGGAAGAAGCGAGAGAGAGGAGTGAAAAAAACTTGAACCTACACTCACAACAATATATCACATTACAAGTCTAATTAGGCCCCAATATTGTGACTCGCTGAGCGCCTTATTGTCGTCCCGCGAAGGCGACGCAAAGGGGGAAGAAAGAGCGTAACCCACCTGAACAATGACGCCACTTAAGGAGTACACAATTTGTGTTATTTTTTTTCTCTCTACCGTACACATCGAGCTATTGCCATTCATTCCTAGAAACTTGTCGCCAGACGCGACGGACTCAAGACGTCTTCATCGTCTGTATTTGGCTGCCTGCGAGGAACTTGGCGACTCACACTCGAGCCATTGGAGAAGAATGCAGGAAATTGCTTGGGTAAATATTCAATTTCCTAATTAAACGCCCACAAACGGTATGAGTTTCTTCAAAAGCTCTCATTCTGGCAGCTTTTCTTATAGGGCGGTGTGGGAGCTGGGTAATTTGGTGTGAAATTTGAAAATATGTGCAATTCGTGGCAGGAGAAAACCCCACAAATATAAAGCGCAGAAGTGGGTAATTTTGAAATATTTCTGTCTTAAATCCATGGTGAAACACATGAAAAGTTGACACAGTCACTTAACATGGATCTTCGGTTGGGCTACCATTTAGAAAATTGACTCTTAACAGGAAGAGCAAATGAAGACAACGCCACAAACTAATGTGTCTCCTCCACATCAGCTCCAAATCCACAAGAGAGAAGTTGGTGGCCAACGAAAAATCACACCGTGTGTTAACAAGAAACTCACATAACAATCAATATGAGTTTAATTTGTATTGAAATTACACAATGGATTTTCACCCTCTTTTCACATTGCTTTTACCACCTCTTCTGCACGCCATGCGAAAGAAAAGAAAGTGTTGGGCTGCTGGAAAAATTGTGTGATATGCAAAGTAAATAAAATCATTCTCTCTCTCGAAGCGAATTTGAGGGTGAATGTCGGATAAGAGGCAGTGTGTGGCAGGAAAATGTGGTAAAGTGTGGATATTGAAAGTTGAAATGCGCTCACAAAATTGCACAATTTCCCACCAGTGCCGATAAACCACGCAATGAGTGTAGAAGAGCTCTGGCAAAAATGTATTCCCCTTGGCACAGGGAAACTCCTGGATATTGTGTTTATTCTCAACTTCAACTTCTGCACCAACAATTGAAACTGTGAAAAACGTCGTGCACGAGACGATGGTAAAATTGAAGGAAAACCCCAGAAAAAGTACCAAAACCAGCACAGAAGGTGGCTCAAGAATGCAGAGGAGTTGCCAAAGAGTTTTCTCCACTCTGGCCACGAAGAAATATGCAAGAAATCACCCTGTTTCTTTCCCTACCTTTTCACCGTTCGATTAAATCTCGAGAATGGATTCACAACAATTTATAAAAGAGTAACTAAACTGATTTCTTCTACCCTCCGTGTGCGCAATTCCATTCATCTCTTCTCCGCACTTCTCTTGATTTTTTTTTCCACCCAACCAGCGAAAATGTCAAGAATGGCTTTTGTCGAAATTGAA